ATTACCTCATAAAGTCAAATTTTGAAGTTCCACCACCGAAACGTTCAATTTAAACCCAGTAATCTATTACTTGACCGTAAAGTGAACGGCTTCTTTTTCGAGTCTGCATATCATTTGTAATTGCTCACTTCTTTCACTTCAGTAGATTGCTAGCCATTTCAGCCTGCCGATAACCACCAAACTTCTCACAAACAGTTTCTCCTCGAATGCAAATAGTTTATAACGCCCGCTTTTTCACTTTACTAGATAACCATCCATTTCAATATATGGATAACCACCCAATGTTTCACACACGTTGGCATGTGCCAAACTACTAGTTAAATTTTAAAACAAACTTCTAATTAATTTAACACGGTCACATATTTTTTTTGCTTTTGTCCTTAGAAACTGTGGACCGTTTTGGACGTAGTAGGCCTCGCTTAGGGGTAATCGGTTCCTAAGTTGATTGGTTTTGAACCTAGAATTGGGAATCGACCTTTTGACTCCCGGTTCCAAAAGATTGGAATCCATAAACAAACGGATTGGTTTTGGAATCGGTGGCTTCCCAGGGGAGAGAGGCTTGCTTTGCTCCACATTTGTTATTCGCGACCACTCTCTTCTGTTATTTGTAAACTCCTTTTCTCCACTTTGGATTTGCTATTTCTTTTCTTTCTTCTTCTCCATCTTCTTCACCAAATGTCTCCTCCTCATAAAAAAATAAAATTTGCGATCCATTTTTATAACACTTGTGTATGCAAGTGAAGGTACAAAAGCACATATTCACACATTGACACCATTAATAAAAATACACAACCATCTTTATTTCATCCAAACGGTAGATTTTAGGTGTTCCATTTTGCACATAATGTGTTGTATAAACACGGGCCAGTAGGTACTATATGCCAATAACAAAAGCGGCATCGATTATAATCTCTGTCACTGTCATATATATCAAAATAGTGAAATGCACCGGGCCATTGAAAGCTGCAGAAGTATAGCGTGGTGCCCCAAAAGTTGGGTTTGAATGAAAATCCCCAATGCAAACCAGCAGGGATCTGGTGAGAGCCGAGATCTTTGTCTCCAGATTTACAATGAACAGTAAGCAGCGGTGCTCCCGGTAAATTATTGATGATTTGGACTTCAGATGTCCGCTCAGCGGAGCTGGCTTGTAGGAAGGTAAGAATCATTACCCATACTACTAAAAGTTTCACTGACGAGTCCATTCTCGCAACCATTGTGTTTTCGTTTTGGAATATGAATGCAGCGGAGCACGGTGGAGCGACCCATTTAAGGAGGATTAAGATGCTTCGTATGGTAAGAAAGAAGAAAGAGACGTGTGAGGACTGGATACCTATTCAAGCATTAGGATGACAAAAATAAAGGCCACTTACATATATATGGGAAAATGTGGCAATTGATTTATTAAAATATCTATATTTGCTATTTTTTTCTCTGGACATCTGTATTTGTATCCATATGTATGTAAGTCCACATTAACACATGCAAAGAAGCTTTTTAATTGGCATTTTCATTTTAAAGAATCTTGCTGTGATATTAACTGTACCGACTGCTTGCTATGGAAAATTCGTGAAGACTGAGGACTGGATACCTATTCAAGCATTAGGATGACAAATATAAAGACCACTTACATATATAGTGTGGGAGAATGTGATAATTTATTTATTAAAATATCTATATTTGTTATTTTTTTCTTGACATCTATATTTGTATCCATATCTACGTAAGTCCACACTAATATATTGAAAGAAGCTTTTTAATTGGCATTTTCATCTTAAGAATCTTGTTGTGATATTAGCTATACCGATTGCTTACTATGGAAAATTCATGTAGAACTCCAACTATACATTCGTTTTTGGTAATTTGAATGTGGGATTGGTCTACAGATGTTGCAAAAGGAAGAAACGTGGATTTATAGGGGCTTAAGATTAATGAACTATTGTTGGAGATGCGATTTACAAATTGATTTAATTACTTGGATTATTCAAAGACCAGAGATGATTTGGTTTTGTAATAACATGTTGTTGTGCAAACGTTAGAAGTTTTTTGAATTATATGGCATTTCTAATCTTTTTTTACTTGTGGAGAAAATAAAGAGATTGCAATTTTAGAGTTGAAAGAGATAGATTAAGTAGTTTTAATTTCTCGGTTGTAGTTTACTAAGAAATTATACCTAAGGTGGTCATCTTTGTGTAATCGTGGAGTATCCTTACCGATTCGAAAACAAGAAAGAAAGAAAGAAAGAAAGAAAATATAAATTATGAAAGATTATCTTATTTTATTTCTTGATATCAAGTAAGTTAGGAAGGCAAATTACAGATAAGTGGGACATAGGTCAAAGTGAATTCACTGGAGGAGAAGCCCAATAGATGAAAGGGAGTCGTTAAAGGATGAATCTCGCTAACATGGCCGCTCCATCATTTTTAGGAGCGAAAAATGATGGATCAATTATGGCCACTTCATACGTAATTACATTGGAACAAACTTTTAATTAATGCAACACATTCACACATTCTTTTGCTTTTTTGCTAAAAAACCTTGGACCTTTTTGGACGTGGCGGGCCTGGATTAGGGGCGATTGGTTTCTCAAAAGATTGGTTCCCGGTGTAGAATCGAGAATCAACTTTGTGACTCTCAGTACCAAAAGATTGGAACTGGAAACAAAGCTTGTCGGTTCTGAAATCGATTGCCTGCTGGGGGAGAGACGCTTGCTTTGCTTTGCATTTTGTTTTTGTGTCCTCTTTCTTCTTCTTTTTTTTGTCAACTCTTTTTCTCCACTTTTTATTTTCTATTACTTTCTTCTTCTCCAAATCTCTCCCCCTCATAAAAAAAAGAATTATGTGATCAATTTTTACTACGCTTGGATTTGCAAGTGAAGGCACAAAAGGACATCTTCACGATCGACACCACAAAAAAAAAACACAACGATCTTTATTTCATCCAAACTGCAGCAGAGGTTTCACTCATGGTGTAGATTTTAGGAATTCCATTTTTCACATAACTCGTCGTACAAACACGGACCAGTAGGATGTATATTCCAAATACAAAAGCGGCATCGCTCGTCATCTCTTGTCTGTTTATATATATCGAAATAGTGAAATGCACCAGGCCATTGAAAGCTACAGAAGAATAGCGTGCGGCCAAAAGGATTGGGTTGGAATGAAAATCCCCACGTAGAACCAGCGGGGATCTGATGAAAGCCGACATCATTGTCTTTAGATTTACAATGAACAGTAAGGAGCGGTGCTCCGGGTAAACTATTGGTGATATTGACTTCAATATCTTTCAGAAAAATTGCAGAGCTGGTTTGTAGGAAGGCAAGAATCATTACGACTACCACGAAAAGTTTGGTTGACGAGTCCATATTCGTAACCATGGTGTTTTTGTTTTGGAATATGAATGCAGTGAAGCTCTGTGGAGCGACCTATTTAATGAGGATTAAGATGCTTCATTTGGTAAGACAGAAGATACAAACATGTGTGAGGGCTGAGGATGACAAATATAAAGCACAGATACAAATTTAGTGTGGGAAGATATAGGAATTTATTTATTACATTATCTATAATTGTAATGATTTTTCTTGACATATATATTTGTATCAATATACACTTAAAGTCTCACTAATATATGGAAAGAAGCTTTTTAATTGGCAATTTCATATTAAGAATCTTGCTGTGATGCTAGCTGTACCTATCGCCTTGCTGTGGAAAATTCATTTAGAATTCCAACTATACATTCATTTTTGGTAATTTGAATGTGGGATTGGTCTACAAATGTTGGAGAAGGAAGAAGCGTGGATTTATAGGGGCGTGAGATAAAAACTATTGTTGGAGATGGGATTTACAAATTGATTTAATTACTTGGATTATTCAAAGACCAGAGATGATTTGGTTTTGTAATAACGTTTTGTCGTGCAGAGGTTGCAACTTTCTTGAATTTTATGGCATTTTTTTATATTTTCTTACTTGTGGAGAAATTAAAGACTTTTCAAGTTTAGAGTTGAAATAATTAGTAGTTTTAATATCTCGGTTGTATCTATATTTTTTACCGTAACTTGAGTTAAACTTAATTCCACAACATTACAAAAAAACAATTCTAAATCGGTTATAGTTTACCAAGAAATTATACCTAAGGTGGTAATCTTTGTGTAATTGTTGAGTATCCTTTATTGTTAAGCCAGTAAGACAAATCCGTATACAAAAAAGAAAGAAAGAAAATATAAATTAGGAAATATTATCTTATTTTATTCCTTGATATCAAGTAAGTTAGGTAGGCAAATTATCTTAACCATAACCAAATGTCGAATAATTAGAACCCTTTGCAACACAAGTTGCACTTGTGTTGCGTAGATTTTATGAGTTTCTATTTTCTTAGAATGTGTCGTATAAACACGGATCAATAGGTATTATATTCCAATCACAATAGTAGCATTGGTTAACATATCTTTTTGCGACATAAATATCGAAATAGTGAAATGCCCCAGGCCATCGAAAGCTGCAGAAGAATTGCGTGTGGTTGAAAACATTAGGTTTGAATGAAAATCCCCACATAGAACCGGCAGGGATCTGATGCAAGCCGAGATTGTCTTCTTTAGATTACAATGGACAGCAAGCAAGGGTGGTGCTCCTGGTAAATTATTGATGATTTTGACTTCACAATCTCTCGTAAAATCTAAGGAGCTGGTACTATGAAAAGTTTGATTGATGAGTCCCATATTCGTAACCTTTCTGTTTTCGTTTTGGATTATGAATGTAGTGGAGCATGGCGGAGCACATTTAATGAGGATTAAGATGCTTCATTGGTAAAGACTGAAGAAAGAAACCCGTGAGGACTGAGAATTGGATACCTATTCAAGCACTGGGATGACAAATATGAGGGCCACATACAAATTTTAGTAAAATGTAGCAACTTATTTATTAGGATAATGTATCTATACAAATTTTATTATCATACTATTATATTTGTATCCGTATCTGTATCTATATTCTTTTTTTTTTTTGATCGAATAAACCTCATTTCATTTCAAATAGCTAAAGTAGGATAACAATCCAACGGGGCTTCTGAACAAAGAACATCCAACAAAAGTTGGGGAGGGCTAGAGGTCCAGTTTAGAGGGAGGGACTGACGGAGTTGGGCTTTGGCGACCCAATCCGCAGCTTTATTTTGCCCTCTGAAACAGTGAGTTAAACTTAAATTTGGCAAAGAAGAGAGTGCGGCCTGGCCTTTCTTGATAAGTACAGTGACTTCCCACGGTTCTTGATCTGCTCCCAGAAGTGTCTGAACTAAAGTGAGACAGTCAGACTCCACAGTTAACACACGTGTGCCCTTTTCCTTCTCCCCACTCGGAGGCGAACTTCGAACCTCAATTACTGCTAGGGTTTCAGCATGCAGTGCTGATTGCGCCTTCACCTCTCGGGTGAACCCACCCATCAACACTCCGGAGGCGTCTCTGCACACTCCGGGGATCGCTCCAATAGAAGTCCCGGCAACGAAAGCACCATCAACGTTGATTTTAAGCAAACCCAAAGCCGGCGGAATCCATTTGAAGGTTGAGTTTTGATCTTCTGCTGAGTTAACCTTCTGATTCGAGCACCAAGATTTAAAAATTTTCATGCTTTACAAGTGTTTCGGACACAACTCCCCGTGGATCTGGCATTTTAGCTCGGAAAATGGCTGCGTTCCTCTCTTTCCAAATGAACCAGAGCACTTCAGCCATTACCTCAAGGTTAGGTGTATCGGGCAAGTCACTCTTGTAGTTTAGAAGCCATCGATCTATACTGGTGAGACCTTCTCTCTGTATCCGTATGCGTAGATTTTGGTCTGACCATACTTCAGTTGTCCAGGGACAGAGTAGGAACAAGTGTTCTGCTGTTTCTGGGCTCGTTCTGCACAAAGAGCACATCGGGTCAGGTAAATCTCTTCGTTTGAATAAATTTTCCTTCGTAGGGAGTGCATTTTGGCATAGATTCCCCATGAAAATTCTGATTTTGGGTAGGGTCTGCAAATTCCACACTTTGCACCACAAAGTTCTAGGCTTTTGGTAAGAGGACGATGCTTGTTTATGAGTTAAGTCCTTGTCCCCTTTCCTGAGCAGATTATACCCACTTTTGACTGAATAGGTTCCAGACTTTGCTGCTGTCCATACTATTCTGTCTTCCTCTCCGGTGGATGGGATGGGGATCGCCAGTATTTCATTAGCGATTCTATCTTCAAACATGTTTTGGATTGTTTCTTCCTTCCATGAGTAGTTGTGTTTGTCTATCAACTCGGTAACAAGGTGAGGATCCTCTCGATTAGTAGGTCCTGTAATTATGCCCTGCTTCAACCATTTATCTTCGCGGATTCTAATTGATTCTCCATTGCCTACTGACCATTGAACTGAGTCTGATATTACATTCCTTCCAATTAGTAAACTCTGCCATCCCCATGATGCTCGGTGCCCCTTCCTTGCATGCCAGAAGTCTGTGTTAGGAAAATAGAGTCCTTTAAAAAGCTGAATCCACAGCGTAGATGATTTTTCTATCATTCTCCACGCTTGCTTACCCAACATTGACCTATTGAAAGTCATAAGGTCTTTGAACCCCATTCCTCCGCTATCTTTCCTCGTTTTCAGTACTTTCCAGCTTTTCCAATGTATTCCAGCTTTTGAGTCATTGTTCTTCCACCAAAAGGAGGCAATCTTTTGCTCAATAGCTTTACAAATGGATATTGGGATTTTGAAAATCGAAATCGCGTATTGCGGTAGAGCTTGGACTACCGCTTTCAAGAGAACTTCCTCCCCAGCTTTATGTATCTATATTCAAGCATTAGGAAAATGTAGTAATTTATTTTCTTGACATCTATATTTGTATCTATATCTACGTAAATTCAAATTAATACATGGAAAGAAGCTTTTTAATTGGCAGTTTCATTTTAAAGAATCTTGCTGCGATGCTATAATGATTGCTTGCTATGGAAAATTCATGTAGAACTCCAACTATACATTCATTTTTGGTAATTTAAATGTAGGATGATACAAATGTTGGAGAAGGAAGAAGCGTGGATTTATAGGGGCGTGAGATTAATGAACTATTGTTAGAGATGGGGTTTACAATTTGATTTAATTACTTGGATTATTCAAAGACCAGAGATGATATGGTTTTGTAATAACATTTTGTTGTGCGTAGCTTACAACTTTTTATAATTCTATGGCATTTCTAATCTTTTTTACTTATGGAGAAAACAAAGAGATTGCCATTTTAGAGTTTAAAGAGATAGTTGAAGTAGTTTTAATATCTCGGTTATGTCTATATTTCCTACCATATCTTAAGTTAAAACTTAATTCCACAACATTACAAAGAACAATTCAAAATTGGTTGTAGTTTACTAAGAAATCATACCTAAGGTGGTAATCTATGTGTAATCATGGAGTATCCTTTATTTTTTAGTCAGCAAGACTAATTCGTATACGAAAAAGAAAGAAAGAGAATACAAACAAAGTTTTTTTTTCTTAATTTATTCCTTGATATCTAGTAAGTTAGGAAGGCAAAGTACATATAAGTGGGACATAGGTCAAAGAGAATTTTATTAGAGGGAGAAGCCCAATCGATGAATGGGAGTTGTTAGAGGATGAATCCCGCTGGCATGACCACTCCGTCCCGACGGAGCAATTGTGGCCACCGGTTTTTCAAGTCAAATACCAGAAAGCAAGCAAACAGGTTACTCTTTGTTTTCATACATTTTTTACTCTATTGGTTTTCTTCTCATCCCTCTCTGCTAATTCACGTACCAAAAAGTAATTATGACCATTGAACCACATCTTTATCTAATATTTCAATTAATACATATACTTTCGTGATAAGAATCTGCGAAAAATAAAATCTAGAAACTTATTAAAAATGGTCTTATTTAAAACGCTGCAAAATTCGGCCAAAAAAAAAAACACTTCAATGCACTATTGGCGTAGTTTTTTCTTCACATAAACAATTTTGAAATTATGACACCTAACTATTTTTTTGTGTAAATAACTAGTCCTACGTAATCTAAAGATTACTTTGTAAAATGAAAAATAAAGGAATTTTTACTTTCATAAAAGGACAAATAGATTGTATCAATGATCACTAGGGCTCTTTTGAGGTTGATGGTGCTCACCATTTCGTCGTGATTTCAAATTCATTCGAGGAAGGTGGAGAGGGATGGAACTTAAATAGCATGTGGTAATTGTGTTCACGGCAAATTTGGGATCTTTCAATGGAAAAGAGAGGGAAGATAAAGGGGAACTTGTGAGAAAAATGAGCATAAATTATGGGAAGTTGAGAACCTGGTCAACATTGCCTGGGTTGAACCAACTTCAGAAGCATAAGAAAGTCCTCGCTTCCTCCACCGTCGGCGGTAGACGGTAGCTTCGAACTCCGTCATGGTTGACAATGGAGTGAAAGTGTGACCTGGTATTGGCGTCGTCTTCTTCTTCTCATGCAGTCCTTGCTTGGATACTGCATATACAAGTAACTACTGTGAGTCTTATGAAATAGATTCTATAAATATAAATCCAAAAAATTATGTGTGGAATAAGAAAAGAAAAGCCTTTCAAGATCTGAACTTAATTATACTTCGTTTATTCAGCCTCTAGCTGCAAGATAGATAAGAAACTAATTTACTAATTACCATGTTACTTTATTAACTAGTGATGTTTATCTAACCTTCGATTTTTGAAAACTGACCTTTAGCTTTTTCACACATGATATTAAAATATCCTCAAAAATATAAAACAATAATATTTAGAATTGTGATTTTCTTTTTGCATAAATAGACTTCTATAACTTATCTATTTGAGAGGATGGCAAACTATTTCTACATCTCATTGGCCAAAGTCCATGTTGATCAGTCATGTCATACCGCAGCAAGCTAATCACTCATGATGAAAAGAAGTGCATATGAACAAATTTGATTTGAACTATTTTTTCCTTTTACATATTCTTTTATAATTAATTGAAAAAGTACTATTATTTTGTGTTTCTCATTATAAAGAATGAATAAGCTACGAAGGACTTGATAACTCCTTCGATGCTTGACAAATATTCGGTTAGTGTGATCAATTGCACATATTCTTGGTATGTGTTAGGTAGCACTTTGTCACCTATACTATCTCGTACGGTCGATTTTTGAAGCTGGTGTCCACTACCGAAATGTTCAATGTAAATCCGATAATCTATTACTCAATGATAGAGTGAACGGTTTCTTTTCTAAGTTTGCATATCATTTGTAATTGCCACTTCCTCCACTTCAGAAGATTACCGGCCATTCCCGCCTATGGATAACCACCTAACTTCTCGTGAACAGTTTTTTCTCGAATGCTTGTCTTTTATAACGCCCACTTCTTTCAGTTTTCCATTGAACAATCCAGTTCACTATATGGATAACCACCCAGTTTTTCACACACGTTGGCATGTGCCAAAATACTAATTAAATTGAGACAAACTTTAAATTAATGTAACACATTCACTCATTCTTTTGCTTTTATGCTAAGAAACCTTGGACCATTTTGGACGTAGTGGACCTGGATTAGGGGGTGATTGGTTTCTCAGTAGATTGGTTATGAGCCTAGAACTAGTAGTAATCAACCAGGTGACTCCCAGTTCCAATAAGTTGGTCGGTTTTGAAATTGGTCGCTTGTTGGGGGAGAGAGGCTTGCTTTGCTTTGCATTTGTTTTTTGTGTTCTCTTTCTTCTTCTTTTTTGTCAACTCTTTTTCTCCCTTTTTTATTTGCTACTACTTTTTCTTTCTTCTTCTCCAAATCTCTCCCCCTTCATAAATAAAAAAAAGAAATTATGTGATCGATTTTTATTACAACGCAAGTGAAGGCACAAAAGGACATCTTCACGCATCGACACCGTGAAAAAACATAGACAACGATCTTTATTTCATTAGAACCCTTCGAAGCACAAGTTTCACTCTTAGCGTAGATTTTACGAGTTCCATTTTTCACAGATGTTGTATAAACACGGACCAGTTGTTACTATAGTCCAATTACAAAAGTGGCATCGGTTTTCATCTCTCTTCTGGTCATATACATCGAAATAGTGAAATTCACCAGGCCATTGAAAGCTACAGAAGAATAGCGTGGTGTCAAAAAAACTGGGTTTAAATGAAAATTTCCACATAGAATCCGCAGGGATCTCATGAAAGCCAAGATCATTGTCTCCAGATTTACAATGAACAGTAAGCAGCGGTGCTCCTGGTAATTTATTGATGATTTGGACGTCAACTTTTTTCAGAAATTCTCCGGAGCTGGCTTGTAGGAAGGCAAGAATCATTACGGATACTACGAAAAGTTTGATTGCCAAGTCCATATTCATAACCTTCATGTTTTTGTGTTGAAATATGAATGCAGTGGAGCACAATGGAGCGACCTATTTAATGAGGATTAAGATGCTACATTTGGTAAGACAGAAGAAAGAAACATATGTGAGGACTGAGGACTGTATACCTATTCAAGCATTAGGATGACAAATATGAAGGCAACATACATATTTAGTAACTTATTTATTAAAATATCTATATTTGTATCTGTATCTATATTCAAGCATTAGGAAAATGTAGTAACTTTGTATTAAAATTTTTATATTTGGAATTTTTTTTCTTGACATCTATATTTGTATCTATATCTACGTACTTTCAATTTATTATATGGAAAGAAGCTTTTTAATTGGCATTTTCATTTTAAAGAATCTTGCTGTGATGCTATACCGATTGCTTCCTATGGAAAATTCATGTAGAACTCCAACTATACATTCATTTTTGGTAATTTGAATGTGGGATGTATCTACATTAATGAACTATTGTTGGAGATGGGATTTACAAATTGATTTAATTACTTGGATTATTCAAAGACCAGAGATGATGTGGTTTTGTAATAACATTTTGTTGTGCATAGGTTACAACTTTTTAGGAAAAATTTCAAATAAGGACTCAAAGTGATAATAGGGCCCTGAAGTGAACCATGTGTCAAATAAAGACCTGAAGTGCCCTCATTTTCTCAATAAGGGCCCGGAGTGAACCTTGTCTCAAATAAGAGTCTGAAATAACCATATCAATCTAAAAAAAAGGACATTTTCGTCTTTTAATTTTTTTTTGATTTTTTTCCTTTTCAGTTTTTTTCCATAAAAAACAAACTCAAAAATGAAAAAAAAAGCTAAAGTTAAAAAAAAAAAAAAAAACAAGGGGGAGCCCAACCCCGCCTGTGGCCGTCGCCCCATCGCCGGTGGGGCGGCGGCGATGGCCAGCGGGGCCGCTGGCGCCTCAGTGAGGGTCGGCAACCCTCGCCAGAGCCGGGAGAGGGCGGCGACCCTCTCCCAAATGTGGGCGAGGGTTGCTGAACCATGCCCCGATCTAGGCGAGGGTTTCTGGCCCTCGCCCAGGTCTGGGAGAGGGTCGCCTCCCTCTCCCGGCTTTGGCAAGGGCCATCAGGCCCTCACTGAGGCACTAGCAACCCCACCGGCGATGGGGCGGCGACCACAGGCAGGGAGGGTTGGCTGCCAGCCCTGCCCCCTGTTTTTCTTTTTTTAACTTTTTTTAAATTTTAAATCTAATTTAACTAAAATTTATGTTAAAATTATTTTTGGATGAAAATACCCTTGGCCGGCCGAAGAGCCGGCGGGGTGAGGCCTCTATGAAACTGTTATAGCCACTTCTGGTCCTTATTTGATAACATAAGTCCACTTCATGCCTTATTTGAGAAAATGAGAGCACTTTGGGTCCTTATTTAGAATTTTCCCCAACTTTTTATAATTATATGGCATTTCTAATTTTCTTTTAATTATGGAGAAAATAAAGAGATTGCCTTTTTAGAGTTGAAAGAGATAGATTAAGTAGTTTTAATATGTTGGTTATATCTATATTTCCTACCATATCTTAAGTTACACATAATTCTTCAACATTACAAAGAACAATTCAAAATTGGTTGTAGTTTACTAAGAAATAACACCTAAGGTGGTAATCTGTGTGTAATCATGGAGTACCCTTTATTTTTTAGTAAGCAAGACTGATTCGTATAAGAAGAAAGAAAGAAAGAAAATACAAATTAGGAAAGATCAAAAGAAGTAAAGGTTTTTTTTCTTATTTTATTCCTTGATATCTAGTAAGTTCGGAAGGCAAAGTACAGATAAATAGGACATAGGTCAAAGCGAAATTATTAGAGGGAGAAGCCCAATCGATGAAAGGGAGTTGTTAGAGGATGAATCCTGTTAGCATGACCACTCCCGTCATGACAGAGCAATTGTGGCCACCGATAGTTAAAAACTAGAAACCAAGCAAATAGGTTACTCTTTGTTTACATGCATTGTTTACTTTAAAAAATTTCTTCTCATCCCTCTCTGCTAATTCACCCCCCAAAAAGTAATGATGACCATTGAATCGCATCTTTATCCAATTGTTCAATTAATACATATACTTTCAAGATAAGAATGTGCGAAAAATAAAAATACAAACTTATCAAAAATGGAGGAGCAGGCCGTGACAGCATCGGGACAGGTCACGAGATCAATAGCAGGCCCGTTGCGGTGGAGGAGCTTCACGATGTGGCAGGGAGTGTCGGCCAGGAGTCGCGGCTAGCAGCACCGTCACAGGTCAAGGAACGGCAATAGCACCGTCACGGGGTCAATAGGTAGCTGGTGATGCAGCTGGACTCATGAGTCTCAACTATGGGAGGCAACATCGGTGTGGAGCTCATTGCCGGTGCAGGGGCAAAGGCGGTTGATGGCGGCAAGGATCGTCGCAGCCGTGTGGAGGCTGGGCCGTGAAGGGGCTCGGTCGAGGCTCTCCTTTCCTCGCTCTCTCTTTTCTCTCTCTGTGTTTTCTCTAAAATTGCTGACCAATGTGACCACGCTGAATTGTGAGATCTTAAGACATTATATAGTGTTAACCTGGGTCTTGTACGAGCTTTTTAATGATAAAAGGCTTAATCTTTGTGGGTTAATTAACATTACGCTCAAAGCCTTTAATCAATTCCAGCTCTCATGAGCCAATTTTGACTCAATTAAGCTCAATACCCCCTCCCCTCTCTTAGGGAATTTCGGCCACTGAGTGTGCATGGGCTGGCCAAATTTTAGCTCACCTATGAGCTCAGTCTAGATAATTTAATTCAGTTTAAAAACATCCACCGCCGGTTCATCAAAATGATCCTAAACTTATGTCATTTAATTAATTAATTTTTTTTAGGGTCGGGGTGGTCAATCCCTAAATTTCTACGCTCATAATTTCTAAATAATTAATCAAAATTTAGGTGTCAACATTCCTTCGTATCTAGTAATACAGATAAGTATGACATAGGCCAAAGCAAATTTATTAGAGGGAGAAGCCCAATCGATGAAAGGGAGTTGTTAGAGACTTCCTTGTCCACATCATACGTTCTTTACTTCAATAGTTTAATTCTCACCTCGCTCTGCTAATTTACGTACCAAAAAATAACTATGACCATTGAATCACCTTTTTGTCTAATAGTTCAATCCATACATATATTTTCACAATAGGAATGTGCAAAATTAAAAAAACTACAAACTTATAGAAAATGGACAAATTTTAAAAGCATCAAAGCACTATTGGTGTAGTTTTTGCTTTAGATAAGCAATTTTAAAATCCCGACATCTAACTGCTTTTTTTGTGTAAACAACTAGTCCTACGTAATCTAACGACTGCTTTGTACAAAAACAGAAAGGAATTATTGCTTTCGTAAAAGGAAATATTGACTATCTTGCCGATCATTAGGGCTTTTTCGAGGTCGATGGTGCTCACCATTTCGTCGTGATTTCGAATTCATTCAAGGAAGACGGCAAGGGATGGAACTTAAATAGCATGTGATGATGGCGTTCATGGCAGATTTGGGGTTTTTCAATGGAAAAGAGAGGGAAGATAAAATGGAACGTGTAAGAAAAATGGGCATAAAGAATGAGAAGTTGGGAACTTGGTCAACAATGCCATGGGTTGAACCATCTTCAGAAGCATAAGAAAGTCCTTGCTTCCTCCATCGGCGGCAGTTGACGGTAGCTTCGAGCTCCATCACGGTCAACAGTGGAGTTAAAGTGTGACCTGGAATTGCCATCTTCGTTTTAGTCTCACACGGTCGTTGCTCGGATACTTAATATACAAGTAACTACTCTAAGTCTTATGAAATAAATTACATAAATATAAATCCAAAAAATATGTGTGGAAAAAGAAAAGAAAAGCCTTTCAATATCTGAACTTAATTATACTTCATTTAGTTAGCCTCTCTTCACAAGATAGATGAGAAATTTACCTACTAATTACCATGTTATTTTATAAGCTAGTGATGTTTTGTTTGACCTTGGATCTTTTTCATGCATGATATTAAAATATCTTCAAAAATATAGAATAATAATATTTAGAATTGTGATTGTCTTCATGTGTAAATAGACATCTATAACTTATCTATTTGAGAGGATGGCAAACTATTTCTACATCTCATTGGCCAACATCCATGTTTATCAGTTGTTCATACCGCAACGAGCTAATCACCTGTGATGAAAAGAAGTGCATATGAACAAATTAGATTTGAGCTATTTTTTTCCTTTTCTTTTCCTTTTACATATTCTTTTCCTTTGTGACTCTCAATACCAAAAGATTGAAACTGGAAACCAAGCTAATCGGTTCTGAAATCGGTCGCTTGTCAGGGAAGAGAGGCTTGCTTTGCTTCGCATTTGTTTTTCGTGTCCTCTTTCCTCTCTTTTTTTGTCAACTCTTTTTCTCCACTTTTTATTTGCTACTACTTTCTTCTTCTCCAAATCTCTCCCCCTCATAAATAAATAAATAAAAGAATTATGCGATCGATGTTTACTACACTTGCATTTGCAAGTAAAGGCACAAAAGGACATCTTCACGCATTGACACCATGAAAAAACTTATGGAACAATCTTTATTTCATCCAAACGGGAGCTAACATAATCATATTATCCATAACCAATCGTTGAATCATTACTACACTTGCATTTGGAGCACAAGTTTTGCTCATGGCGTAAATTTTATGAGTTCCATTTTTCACAAAGCTTGTCGTATAAGCACGGACCAGTAGGTTTTATATTCCAATAACAAAAGCGGCATCGGTCAATATCTCTGTCCTCGTCATATATATTGAAATAGTGAAATGCTCCAGGCCATTGAAAGCTGCAAAAGAATAGCGTGCCGCCAAGAAAATTGGGTTTGAATGAAAATTTCCACAGAGAACCACCGGGGATTTGATGAAAGCCGAGATCGTTGTCTTTAGATTTACAATGAACAGTAAGTAGTGGTGCTCCTGGTATATTATTGATGATTTGGACTTCAGTTGTTTTCACAAAACTTCCGGAGCTAGCTTGTAGGAAGGCAAGAATCATTACGAATACTACGAAAAGTTTGATTGACGAGGCCATATTCGTAACCTTGGTGTTTTTGTTTTGGAATTTGAATGCAGTGGAGCACGATGGAGCGAGCAATTTAAGGAGGATTAAGGTACTTCATTTGGTAAGATAGAAGAAAGAAACATGTGTGAGGAGTGAGGACTGGATACCTATTCAAGCATTAGAATGACAAATTTAGTGTGGGAAAGTGTAGTAATTTATTTATTAAAATATCTATATTTGTAATTGTTCATTGACATCTATATTTGTATCTGTATCTACGCAAATTCACACTAATATATGGAAAGAAGCTTTTTAAT